GGCAGACACTTTTTACTTTTGAATATTTTTCAACTTTTCCAACGGTTTTTGAAAGAAGAACAAAAGCATTTTTATCTGCAAAAAGAAAAATTGAAATATCCTAAATACTCAAAAAGTTACAAGACATCAAAGTTTTTTTCTTACATTTTAGATAAACGAAGAAGTTTCCCACTTGTACTGTCTAAATTTGAAGTAGTAAAATTTTTACTAATTCGAATTAGTAAATTTTATTATTACACAGTAATCACTACTGATTTATTAGTAAAACTTAAAAATTCAAGTGCAAAAAGTCAGGCATTAATTCAAATTAGTAAATATTTTTACTAATGAATAATAGTTTCTACTAATTTACTAATTGAAAAGCCTTTTGGCTTTTGGCTTTGCAAATTAGTAAACATTTTTACTACTAAATAATGATAAATAACATTTTGCTAATAAATAATAATTTCTACTAATTTATTAGTAAAATTTACTAATTCAAAGGCCAAAAGTCAGTCACTAATTCAAATTAGTCAACATTTTTAACAATTAAAATTTAGATAGTAAAGTTAATATCCTCCAAACTTTTAAAAAAAATTAGTTTCAGGAAATAAAAAAATAGTAGTCTAATATTTTTTAAAAAACAATATTTTGAGGATAAAATTAAATTAATGCAATTAAAATATCCAATAAAATTAATTGTTTACACCACACTATTATTCTAGTTAAAGATTAAGTAGTAACAAATGGATTTTTTCAGACAATGTTTTTTTAATTAAAATTCAAGTGGTAACAAATAGATTAAAATAATTCAATTCCTTAAAAAAAAATTTATTTTTTATAAAAATAATGGAATTATTGCAAAAAAATTTATAAAAAATTTGTAAATAATTAAATTCCTGTGAAATTTTTATTATTTATGAAAATAATAAAATGTTTGCATACAATTTTATTAAATTTTTATTTAAATAATAAAAAAATAATAGAAAAAATAAATTTTTAAATAAATAATAATCAAACCGATTATTCGATTCATTTCAGTATTTTTTGCTTTAAAAAATAATTATTACGATTAAAAAATATTTTTGTGTCTCATTGCAAATAAAAAAAAACTACAAGTAAAATATTTGTCGAAACGTTAAAATTGTGTTTTTATTATTTTCATATTTGACTTGGAGGATTGATAATTTTCTTCATATTTTATACGAATAAAATAATTTTCATAGCAATATATTGTCACATTCTACACTTAATTCTAATAAAACCCCATTAACATTTTGCCATTTTTTTATATTTTTTACAATTTCATGCCTACTTTTATCGTTTTTTTTTTAAATTACTAATTAATGTAATAGAAATTTTCAGTTTTTTTTCATTTTTACATTATTACCTAATTTATTTCTTTTATTTAGTTGTTCCAAATTTTTTTGATTGTTTTAGTGAAAAATGACCAAAAAGAGGTAAAAATTTATACTTTTCTAATTTCATTAACTTTTTTAATTATTGAAATTTTGTTTATTAAAGTTTTAGTAAAAAATTATTAAATTTACCTAGTTGAAATTTTAAAAAAATAAAAGAATAAAAATAACAAATATTTTTTTTAATAAAAGAATTATATTTCTTTTATTCAGTTGTTCAAAAATTTTTTTGATCGTTTTAGTGAAAAATGACTAAAACTTTCATTTGAGACAACAAAAATGTTGTTAACTCAACTAAAATGTAAAGCAAAATTATTTTTCTTTCCAGCTATTATTTTTCTCGCACTGCATTTATTCAAATAGTCAAAAAGAAAAGCAGAAAATAAGTTTTTTCTTTTTAAATGTAAAACTAAAATTGAAATAAACTTCTCTTCTACCAAAGTATCATAAACAAATTTAACTTTATTATTGAAAGACAAAGACCATCTGATCGATAGGATAGAAATAATCGACAGTCCATTATTACCCCCTGAACGAATTCTCAATCCCCGAAAAACTATATGGGGTGTCTTGGATCGACATTTGCGCATGTAACTTAATTTTATCACCCTACATGCGTCTTTGATTCAATTACAGGATGAGTCATGATAAAAATGTTCAAGTAAAAGAAAAAATCATATATTCTTCCATCGAACCAGATATAATATAAACAGCAATCTACAAAATTCGTATATGAGGGATTTTTGTCCAAAACAATTTTTCTCTCAACGATTATAAATCAGAAATGTAATCATATGTAAACCGGAAAGACGAATTTCGAAAAAGTTGTTGTAATATTTATAAATAATTACAAATTTTAAAGTTGTTTAATAAAAAACTTTGCAGAAAAAAATATTTTCACTAAAAGAAAAGAAATTTTTTTCATTTAAACGTTTAGAACTTTAAAGGCATAAAGATTACTTAATTTAATTAATTTTTAATTCTCTATTCATTCAATTTCTATTCTTTAATTTTTATTTTTATATTCCCAATATTTTACTAGATTTTAAGGTTTTTGAGGTTTTATAAAAAATGTTATAAACATTTTTTTGATAAAAATACACTTTTTAACGTTTTCTAAAAAAAAATGGTTTAATTGGTTTGTTTAATAAATTATATTTAATAAATTTGAATAAACAACATACAAAAAAATCTAAATTGAAAGATACTTTGACAAAAAATTTCTCGAAATTCTTTTCCATGAGCGAATTTCAAGAATAAAATAATATAATTAGAATTAGTTCACTGTAGATTGCAATGAAAAAGAACAATAAAAAAAGGAGAACAAATAAATTGAATATAAACCTTGGAAAAATAATTCACTGGAAATTAAAAATGCTGACGTGCTTTGCTAAATGATTACTTGAGAGAACCTATACATTTACATGTGAAGCTTTAACGTACTTAAACCCTCAGTTCAGAACGACCATCCATGTTCTACGTTCGTTACGTTAATCCATTTACGCCTTTGGCTAGATTTACATGGTTTTGCACTCGTTTCGAGAAGTAAAAAAAAATTCAAAAACAAAATTTTTACCTATCTAATATGTAAAGATATTTTTTTCTCCTCTAATTTACATAACTAACGGCATACGTCTAATGGTAAAACATTCAGAATCATGGAAAATAATAAAATTTGTTCGAAATTTATTAAAAGGAGAGAAATAAAAATAAAGAACATATCAAAAATTTGAATTTCTATTAATTTTTCTACGGAAAGAATTTCTTTTATACTTCCACTTTTTATTGTAAATATTACATTCTACAGTGATGGAAAAATAGTTATTAAATTCTATGAAAGTATTCTGCAATTAAAAGATAAAATAAATAAACGAACTGAATAAAAATTCGGATATAAAAAATTTATTAAAATCATAAAACGAAATTTTAGTTTAAAAATATTCTAAAACTCATTGAAAATTGTGTAAAATTGTTCATTGTTTTAATGAAGTTTAAAATTTGAAATATAATGTTTGAAATATTCTAAATAGGTAGTGAATATTTTTTTTTATAAATTTTAATAAAAAATAAAACTTTACTAAATTTTATAAAGATTTTTTTAAATTAAAACTTTTTACATTTAAAGTTTGCTTCTTAACAAATTGACCATTAATTAAAAAAATAATTTTTATAAAATTATTTATAAACTTTTGAAATTATTTTCTTTCAGTGTATTATTTCTGCTTACTCTCTTCACAGGAATGTAATATTCGTTATCTATTTTACGTAATTTATTAATTTATTAATATATTTTTCTGTATTTATTAAATATGTTTATTAAATCTTTTTAATATATAAATCATTTAAGTTATTACATTTGAAATAAAAAAAAAGAAAATACTTCTCTCCCAAATTATACTTAATTTTTTTTTTTTTTAATAATTACATAAAAAGTGATTATACTTTTTACATAATTAATCGAAAAAAGTTGCAATTTTTTTGCTTAAGTTTTAGTGAAAAATGACTAAAACTAGTCAACATTTATGATTCTTTATTTTTATTGCTAATTTTTTTATTCAGTTGTTGAACATTTTTTTTTTTGCTAAAGATTGAATAAAAAATGACAAACATTTGTAGGAATTTATCTTTTTTTTTTGTATATTTTATTCTTCAGGAAGAATCCGTCGGAAAGTGAAAACAAAAATTATTCAACTTTATACTTTCACATTCTTTTTTTTAATAAAAACAATTATATTAAAATTATTAAATTCGGTTTTTCTGTGAAAAAAAACAAACAATTCGATTTCTAACATTTTCTACGATCCAAAATTCCATTTGGATAAAAATTACAATTTTGTCAATAATAATCATTTATGTAAAAATTATTCTGTTATTTTTACATCGTTTTTTATTGATAAAATTGCAATTTCTATTCACATGGAATTTTTGATTACTCGTAAAAAATAAAAAAAACTAAAATAATTATAAATTAATAATTTTTAGTCTAAAATGTAAAAATTAAATTCCTTACCCACTTATCAAAATTTAGTTAATATTTAAATTGAAGGTCCCGATCAAAGAATCAGTTATCATTTATTTTTAGCTCAAAATTGTTGGCCCATAAAAAAATTAAAAATTAATTTTTAGAGGTAGATTCTCGTAATGCTTTTACAAATACGAAATGCTTACTAGAAATTAAGAATATTCTTTTTATTTAGAGGTCGAAATTTTTGAGTCTTAAAAAATATAACCACTTCTTTAATCGGGACTCTCAATTATTGTTTAAACTTCAAAAATAAAAAATACAAAACTATATTAAATTTAACACAATTATTTGTCAGATTCTCTTTATAAAATTTCACTCTTAGTTAGAAAAACATTTTCTAAGAAAAATATTCAAAATGGCAAAGTTAAAAATATATTTTGTTTCTTTTAGCAGAAACAAAATATCCTTAGAAAAACTATGAGTATAAAATTCCCTAAGTTTTCAAAATCGAAAAAAATATATAAAAAATGAGTAAAAATATCGCGTATAATGCAATAAAAGTGAAAAAAAAAAATATTTTCTAATTATTTTGAAATAATGACAAAATAACTTTGTCTTTAACAATCTTTTATACTCACTTGAATTCTGGCTTCGTTCAATTTCGTGCTCCTCGCTAATTCCTCTCTGCAGTATATATCCGGGTAATGGGATTTCGCAAACGCCGATTCCAATTCCGCTAGCTGCTCCTACGAAACAATTCGAAACAGCACTAAAATACCAGTCCGGTAATGGTCAAGGGAAAATACAGTAATACTCAAATAACACCCTGGGAATAGGCTAATGAAATATCCAGAACAAATGATTCATTGTGAGAAATAAAATAGGCGTATTACTTTCAAAATTATTTCTCAATATTATTTCCTAATTTTTGTTTCAAAAACAGATAATAAAATTATTTTTCTCTTCCCTTTTATTCCATATATTTCGATTGTTATTGCTTTTTTTTTTTTTTTTTTTTTTGTTTTTCGTTTTATTTTCGAAAAAAACACACAATTTCCAATAGAAAATTTTACATTGCCACTACGCGTCTCTTTTGTAAATTGTAAAATTTTCCGAATTGATTTTGTCATTCTTTTTCGATTCGCACAATATTCACGAAAATCAAACTGTTTTTCTGTTTCTATTTGTCATTTAATGACGATTTATTGTTTGTTCTCGAAAATGGAAAATAATGTCAAGGAAAAGTAAAATTAATTATTGAGAATTTGAAATTTTAATTATTTCCGGGAAAATTAATTATTTCTAATTATTTATAATTATTTATAATTAAACATTGAATCTAGAGACTTTAATAATTAAATAATTAATAATACTTTTATGCGGGAATTCAATGTAATTTCTAATTTTCTAATTTGATAATCTAATTTTGCTTCCTCGTGAGGAAGCTTTGTAGTCGTTTAATTTACAAAATTTTTAAAAATCCTTTTAACAAATTTTCTTCTATATGGGACTATGTTATATAAGACCCTGAACAATTGTCCGGATGTATGTATGTGTGTGTGTGTGTGTGTGTGTGTGTGTGTGTGTGGATCCCGATTTTTGTGAACACGATAACTCAAAGAGGTTTTAACGAATTTGGCTAAAATTTACCAGGTATGTTTATCCTAAAAATATCTCGAAATGGATTGATAGACTTTAAAAAATTCTCAAAAAAAAATTTTTTTTGGCTTTTTTCTAAAAAAAATTTTTTTTCAAAAAATTTTTTTTAAGTTGGTTATTGAAGTTAATAAATAATAAAATCTTATTCTTTGCATCAAGACGAATCGATTGGTATATAAAAAGTATAAATTGTATGAGAATTTGCAGAGTTAATCACAATTAAAGCTGAAAAATTCGCGTTTTTATCAAAAAATGAGTGCTTTCCGCAAAATTATGTTGCCGTATAAGAAAATCTTACTCATTTATTTCTAAAATCTTATTCTTTGCACCAAGACGGATCGATTGGTATATATAAAGTATATATTGTATTTAAATTTATAGAATTAAAACCAATTATAGACAAAAAATTTGCACTTTTAATAGAAATTCATTTTTTCTTAAAAATCATGTTGCTGTACAATAAAATGTTATTATTTATTGAAAAATAAATCAAAAATCTTATTCTTTGCATCAAGACGAATCGATTGATGTATATAAAGTATATAATCTATTGAAAAATATAGAATTAATTACAATCAAATTTGAAAAATTCACTTTTTTACTAAAATTTTTTTTATTTATTTAGATTCATATTACTGTTTAAGAAAATTTTATTCTTTCTATTAAGACGAATGCACTTTATTTTATGAATGTTAAATTGTATTAAAAGTTATTTAAAAATTAAATATTCTTATTGTTAATGCTTCCTCCACGAGGAAGCAAATTTTTTTTGCTGATCGTAAAGAGGAAGCAAAATGTTCATGTTATGAACATCTGGATTTACAACTTGTTCTTTTTATATTGAAAAACAATTTTTAATCGTCGAACAGTTTTTATTAAACTCTAATTTTCATTTGTACCTAATTTACTCCAATTAGTTTTTGATTAAATTTTGTTTATCAATTTTAGAAATTTATTATTTTTATACTTAGTAATATTATTTTTGTACTTTGTAAAAATTTTAATAAAAATTAGAAAATAGAACATATTTTGCAAATGAAAAGAATTTTTATATTATTATTTTTTTTTTATTTTTCTATTTTTTGCTTTCAAAGCCTAATTCAATATAGAACGCATAAACTCAGAGAGACTTTAATGCTTTGCTTTCTTGCGATGTAAAATTTTATTCCAGGCATTTTGAATCGTCAAAATAAATTTTGTTTTTGAAAACGAAAATATAATAATAATTACGTAACATAAAATTAATAAAAATGTAACATAAAAATAATAATATAAGGACAATAATTTAAAAATAATATTTAAAAAAAGCAATATAAAGAATATAGAAAAATTTCGTATTTTCTACTTTAGACGAAAAAATAATAAAAATAAATTTGTATACAATTTTCTATTTTTTTTTTATTCATGTAAACGACTCGTAATTTTTTGAGATGAAAGAATAAATAAATAATAAGAAATAAAAGAAGGTTTACCATCTCTTATTAAAATTTCATGGCTTCCTTAAAATTTCCTTTTTGTAAAAATAATAAAACCAACCTGGGTAAAAGTGGTTCTATGCCGCCGCCGGGCTGGGGTAGGACAACTTGCGGTAGTAGGGGTGTGACCAATGTGTGGGCTTGAGGCGCAGGGTTCCGGTTTTAATTTTTTGAAGGCTCCTTCGATTCCTGAAACCAATAAAAAAACCCACTCAATGTTTTCTGTAAACAATTCCTTTTTAATTCAATATAAAAAAGGTTACAATGCGAAAAATCTTTGTCCTGAAGTTTAAAAAAAAACTCCTGTGTTTTTAATCTTTCCATTTCTGATTTTTTATCTATTTGTTTACTTATTTTCATTTTTTCATTAATTTATTAAATTTATTTAATTATTTAATTTAATATTTAATAACTTTTTAAACTTATTTATTCAATATAGACGAATATTTTATAATCAAAAAATTCTCCATTCATCATTATTGATCAAAGTTTACTTTTAAATATAGAAAATAAAATATTTCTCTATTGAATTTATTGAAATATTCTAAGTTTCAAAATACAAAAAAAAATTTTTTATAAATCAGGGTTGCCACAAGAAATTAATTTTGTTTTTCGATGACTTTTCCCTGATTTACAGACAAAATTTTAACTTTTTCCCTTACCGTAAAGAATATTATGATTCACTCTCAAAATTATTAGATAATTAAAAGATTTACTCCGAGTCTTCGACTCGGAGTAATTCATATCTTCATGTTTTATAAAAATTTAGATTTCCATAAAATTTTTCGAAAAAAAAATTAAATTATTTACAAAAATTATAATATAATTCGTTGCAAGAATACAATTATTTTCATAAATAATCAAATTCTTCACAGGGTATCAATTATTTTTAAAACAATTTTAAATAAATTTCTCGAGAAATGAAATTATCTTCAAAAAACCACATGAATTCAATTATTTAAAAAAAATTTAATAAAATTCGTTATAAATTCTTTCAAAAAATTTCAGAAAAAAATTCCTTTTTTCTAGGATTTTATTATAAATTGTATTAAAAATAATTGAAATCTTTAATACAATTTATAATAAAATCCTCGAAAAATTGAATTTTTTTTTTGAAATTTTTTAAAAGAATTTAATTACATTTTACGAATAATTATAGTGCAAATCTTCGTTGAAATTTAAATATTATCAAAATTTACTATTTTAATAAAAGTTCTCAAAAGAATTCAATTATTTTCATAAATAATAAGATTCTTTTACATTATTTCAATTATTTAAAAAAAAATTTGATAAAATTTGTAGCAAGAAATCAATTACTTTTATAAATTAATAAAATTCTTCACAGGTTTTCAATTATTTTTAATACAATTTTAAGTAAATTCTTCGAAAAATGTAATGATTTTTAAAAATTTTATTAAAATTCTTCGAAAGAATTCAATTATCAATTATTTTTAAAAATCCATCCTATAATGCTTTTATAATATATTCATTAACATTAATTTTTAATTCAATTTTTATTGCAAAATTCTACGAGAATTAAATTATTTAAATACAAAAATTAATAATTTACTGAATAAATGAATGTTTCTTTAAATTGAATTATCATAAAGAATTTTATCAACATAAATCAACATAAATTTATAAAAAATTTGTAAATAGTTGAATTCCTGTGAAATTTTTATTATTTATGAAAATAAAAAAAAATAAAAATAATGAAAAATAAAAATATAAAATAAAATAAAAATAAAAATAATGAAAATAAAAAAAAAATTGCAAATAGTTGAATTCCTGTGAAATTTTTATTAATTATGAAAATAATTTAATGTTTGCTTAGAATTTTATCAATATTTTTTTTTAAATAATTGAATTCTTTTGAAAAATTTTATTAAAATAGTAGATATTGGAAATCATTGAATTGAGCAAAATAACAAACAAAAATAAATACAAAACCAAATAAAATAAAAAAAAAAATAAAATACAATACAAAACGAATAAAATTTAAAACAAAAGTAAATACAGAATGAAATAAATAGGTATATAAAAACGAATAAAATAAAAAACAAAAATAAATATAGAAATAAATAAAATATATAAAATAAAGACGCAGAAAAACACAAAAACAGATGAAATAAAAACATAATAAACCACAACGAAGAATAGAAACCCGAATAAAAAATAAAAAAAAATTAATACAAAAATAAACAAAAAACAAAAATGATGGAAAAAATTTTAATTGTTATATTAAAGTTTCTCAATATTTCCTCCAGCAAAAAAAATTTTTGCAAACTCAGTCTCAATATATACATTCAAATCCACATCTTAGTTAAAATGGTTAAAATTACTCCACCCAAAGAATTGGAAAGAAAATTTCAAATTGAATTCTCTTTTGAAATGTATTTAATTTGGCAAGAATTCGATATAAGGGATGAGTAAAGGCTAAAGAAGAACAATTAGGATTCCCGTTTGGGAATGTCATCGGGAAGTCATAGACTGTAGCTCGCACCCAGCTTTATGAACGGAGTAAGCGACGAGGTAACCGTAGCCAGCGAAGTCCCTCGCACTATGCTAACTTGGTTAGAGCGTTAATGACCTAATCATGTTACATGCTGATTCAATGTTCAAGGATGAATGCTGTCCACTTTACATACCTTCCCCCATTACCCAGTGAACGAGAGGAAACTCGGTCAAGTTCGTTCAAGAAAATCAAGTGACAGTTTAAACTTTATCAGTCAGCATCACTCGTCGCGCGTGTCCTTATTTTTCATTAATTCTTCTATCACTCAATTATCGCAATAATTCTTCATTCCTAATGATCCTTTAGAAATTTCTTATCAATCGAATCTTACATGAATTTTCTTCCCCGTCTCATTTCAATTTTCATTTCTTTTATTACATTTTCATAAAAAAAATGAGAAGGTCTTTTTTCTTGTTACATTTACCTATTTAACGAAAATACATATTTTTTGCAATAAGCAAATATTTTCTTTAAACAAAAAAAAAACATTTTTTTCAGACAGCAAAATATTTTATTGTCAATGTAAAATATTTTTCCCAAATAGTCAAAAATTTATTATCTAAATACTACCGAGTAATTAATCATATAACTATAATTAGAATTATAATTACAATTTCACAATTTCTTTCCATTTATTTATTTAATTAAAATTTTAAATGTTTAAATGTAACTTTTTTTCTGGACATTTCCCACAAGTTTTTTTTAAATAAAAATAAAATAGAAAATAAATTAACATAGAATGTAAATAAATATAAAATACTTCCTCTGGGAGCAAGAAAAATAAGTAAATATAAAAAGTAAATAAAGTTAGAGAGCAAGTAAATACAAGAAATAAATAACTAACAAAAAATAAATTAATATACAAGTAAATAAATATAAAAAGTAAAATATAAAAAATAAATAAATGCAAGAAATAAATATAAAAAGTAAGAAAATATAAAAAAATAAATTAATACAAGAGGTAAATATAAACATAAATAGTAAGAAAATATAAAAATAAATACAAGTAAATATAAATATAAGTAAATAAATTTAAAAATAAAGTAAATATAAAAAAGAAGTTAATACAAGAAGTGAATAAATACAAAAAAGAAGTTAATACAGGAAGTAAATAAATACAAAAAGTAACTAAATATAAAAAAAGTAAATTAAAAATTAAATTAGTACAAGAAGTAAATAATCATAAATAGAAAGGAAATAAATCATAAATAGAAAGGAAATAAAAATAAATTAGTACACAAAATAAATAAATATAAAAAGTAAGTAAATATAAACAAAAAATTAATACAAGAAGTAAATATAAAAGATAAGTAAATATAAAAAAATAAATTAATACAAGAAGTAAATAAATATAAAAAAGTAAGAAAATATGAAAAATAAATAAATATGAGAAATATAAAAATATAAAAATTGAAATCAAAATAAAGTAAAAATCATAAAAATTGTTTGAATAAAGTAAACAATAAAGACAAAGAAATAAAAAAAATAAAATAAAAAGTATTCGAAAAGGAGTGAAAGAGACGCAAACTTTCGAAATAACCGCACTATTACCATCACTCACTATAATAGATACGAAAAATCTAAATACTAATTTTATAGAAACTTTGAAAGGAAACTGACCAATGCTAAAGAGCACCTGGACAGAAAAGGATGAAAATAATTAGAGATGATTTTAACCAAAGTTCGGACATTAAGCCTTTTGACATTACCGTAAAAGCTACCAGCTGTCAATTGGCCACTCGCCACTCGCATCTGTCCAGGATTACAATCATTAGAGATTTTGTCACATTTTTCTTCCACTAAATCGAGTATTTCAAATTAGGAAAAAAGAACAAACTTTCTTTTTCACACATCTATCCTCATTAAATGCTACAAAAATTCAAACGGAAAACGATAGAGAAATGTTACAAAATCGCTATTTGCCTTTCAAAAATAAGATGTCAGAATGTTTTATTATCAATTGTCTGAAATATTTTTCGAACGTAAAAGTTTGATAAATAAATAAATGAATAATGAAAAAATTTATTTGATTCAAGTAACCCATTACTTGTCTATTATCAAATAAATATTTACTTGAACCAAATAATTTTTATTTATTCCATTAAATTATAATTGAACCAATAATTTTAGCATTTGAAGCTAATATAATTTAATTGACTTGACTAAAAATTATTTAATACAAATCAATATTTAGCTGATAAAAGAAAAATAATCGGTTATTCGAATTAAATACAATTTTTCTCAGTGAATAGTAATAATAATAATAGTGAAAATATTAAAACCCGAGGAGTAGAAAATGGAATAAAAAATCGATACGTATGTGTAATAAATATAATAAATAATATGAAAAAAGACGAGAAATAATGAAAGTAAAATCGAATCAAATAATAAAAATATATCGTGAATAATAAAAAGCTATCAATAAGAGAGAAACTTAAATAAAAAAGAAAAAGATAAAATAAGTAATAGCGTAATTTTTAATAAAAATAAAAAAGTACAAATATTTTTTTTCTATACAACACAGAAGTAAAATAAGCAAAAAACAAAAAGAGAATTTAAAAAAAGTTGTAGTAAATACAATTTTAAGAACAATAACGCATATTTTTGATTTTTACAATAAATTACGTTTGTATTCTATTTTTCTTCACTTTCAATTTGACGATATCCTTTTTAC